GCAGCAGCAACAGCAGCAACAACAACAGCAAACGCCGGGTCGACGACCTAGTAGCACTGGGAACTGACAAACAATGGCGGAGACTCCTCCATTGGGGTCTGAGACAGCAGCAGTTGGCGTGATCCCGACGCCGCCGTCTCCGGACCCGAACCGGGCCCTCAGGATAGAACGGCGTATACCTCGCCCGGTACGCAAACCAGAAGTCGTCTTCAAAAAGCCTATCAAACAGTGACTCGCGAACGATGTGTTCAATCGAAGAAGACGATTTCATATGTATCAGGAACCATGGAGACTCCGCCTGTCAATAATTAAGTATCCGAAAAAACTTTTAGAGACAGAACATATACCGAGAGTTTTAGTCGAGACTGGACTGAAAGATATAAAAGAGAAAGAGTGAGAAGGAGGTTAGTATAGCCCGTATAACATGTAACATGTAGAGTGCTGAATGCTTGAGAAAAAAAATATTTTTGAGCGTTCGTCGATCATCAGGATAAGCTAAAGCCTAAACTGTAGAGACCTGAAGAACTGTTGTTCAGCGAAACTATAAGCTTCGACTGTAACGACGGATTACATAGAACTTAGACGCAACAGAAAGATATGTTAATTAATTGCGTATGATAAAACTGAAAATAGAAGAATTGAGAATTCAGCTTTGTGTGGTCTTTGATTATTGAACGAGTAATATTTAGATAGAAAAACAGAGAAATATTTTTGAAAATTCTATATATACATATATACATAGTAACGATAGAGTGAAACCATTGAATAGTTACAATTACGAGGGAAGATGGTCGAAGAAAGAAAGTTTAGCTGAATCACGTGTATATACATACATCGTTGCAAGAATAGATCTTACGTACGATAATTAAAGAATTAGTAAATATATAATAACGATGCCTGAACTTGAATATATTTATTTAGTGAAACTTATATTTCGTTGAACCCATTGGATAAAGATTCCATTTTAATGGAATAATTTGGTTAAAGATTTGATTTTTTGAGCCTACAGGACTGTAAAATTTAAGAGAAATCACAATCAATGGACAAAAAATTATAAATATTTATTTTCTTTTGATATTTTTTCAATAATAAACAAAAATATTGAGAAATTATATTTATATAAATAAAAATACGACGGCTTAGATGTACGTGAGGATTTATAAAAATAGGTAATTTTAAAACTTGTGATCTCTATCATGGATTCAGTATGTACTTAAATAGTATATTTACACTGCGAAAAATAGAAAATTAAGAATGCGTATTTTGACATATTTTGTTCGCATTGTATAACGTATAATTATCTTCTATCATGCAATGACAAATATATATCGGGGATACATTTTTGTTTAAATTATTTCTGTTTAAATATTTTATTAAATTAAAATTTCTGTGACCCAAACCCTACAAATAAATATATTTCTATATTGTTTCTGTATAATTGTGTTTGGAAATTTCTCTGAACAGTTTAGTAAACTAAAAAAAAAAAAGGAAATTAATTAAATGTATCAATACTCTCAAGATTATGTCGGTCATTAAAACGGAGTTAATTTATTTGATTTTATTTTTGGGGTTCTTCTTTCGGGAGGCGAAATAATTAATAGATAGTAAATCAAACGAGTGCCTATCCTCGTAAAGTCTTCCAAGACGACGTTGTCGAATGATCGATCGGATTAATTTCCGATTTGCGCGATGGAACATATTATTTTTGATTACTTGAGATCACCTTGATCGTCGATCGACTTTGTGAACGACCGAACTCGTACCTCTGTACATCATACGAAAAGTCGATAAAATAAAGAACCACTAACTCGATGTCGAAAAGAGAAAAAAAGATAAAAAGAGGAGGCGTACGTAAAATGTACGCATATATGTGTACATATGTTGGAACGATTAAGTGCGAGTGTGTGAAGCGGATGTAAGTATAGATATACAATATATGTATATATATTATTATATGTATATATATTATTATATGTGTATATATATATACATATACTAAAAGAATACAATCTATACATAATCAGCGAGAAGAATTACGTGCAATAACAATAAATATACGTTTCGACGCGATAACTTTTAACTACCATAGGAGATACGTATTTGCTCAAATCGTTGTTTCTTTTATATATTTTAACGAAGTTTTTTTATATGAACGAGAATTATTACAATAAATATACTAAATTATATTTTTACTAATGCTCTATGTGCAAGAATAAAATCCACGTGCGAACACACACGTACACGAAAGAAAGAGACACACACACACACACACACACACACACACATATACGAAAAGAATAACGTACATATGCATACAGACATTGACCTGTGCGACGACGACAGTTTCACGCGCGACGGACCCGTGTAGGAATTGTATATTATAGCGCGTCTCTTTTATTTTTTGTCCCTCTTAATCTCCAAGATTCATACAACGTCAAACGTTTATTTATTTAGAGATGTAGTACCCGTTTTGCCTTATTGTATTCACGTAATGATTAAGATGTAAATGGTGGTAGGGCGATGACGTCAAACTGCGCTTACAGTACACGTACCAATAGCGAGAGAAAGTGTGCATGACAAACGAATTGGTTCGTAAGACGAGCAGTATTTTTTAGATTTACATACACAAAGAAACACACACAAACACACACCAAGTACGCATATACAAAACATTAATCTGAATTTACTGCTGATCATATAAAGTTATAATTGTATGTACATACATGTATACATAACACTTGACACGCCTAAACAACACGTTTCTACACGTGCGTTCGCGCTCCCGAGTTTGTTTTCGTAAAAAAAAAAAAAAAAACAATAACACAAAAAAGTAAAGAGAAAATGTGAGAAGAATATTAGAAATTTCAGCATTTCAAAATTTGTTCAAGTGTACAATGTTTTATTTAATTAGTATGAATAGAGAATGATCATAGGTGAACGGTGAAAGAAGGAAATTCCTTCGCATTTCTGCGGCTGATTACATAATCATAGTCCGTTACTATACTCGTAATCATTCGTAATACAAAATTATCAATAGTAATTAGATGCCGTAATCACATGTGATACTCTTGCTTCTACGTTACGCAGAAAGGTAATTGTAGGTTGAGATTTGTTTACGTGCGTATTATTTATTCGCGATTACGCTAACTTTCGACATACATATGTACAATGATAACGTGATGTAAGGAAAAATTTCTTTCCGTTTGATATGCTTAATAAACGCAGCCCTCATTCGGTAACCTCTTCTTATCTCAAATAAACAAATCATTTTTTGTCATATAACGAACTCGGGCGCGTTAACACTAATAGCGTTTTTCATTGGCAAAATTGGTGTGCACTCAGTGCACTTTAAAGCCGTTGTACACAAATCGACGTAAAGATGTTTAATGAAAATATAAAAAGTTAAATCGCGAAATCCTAAGTATATTTTATCGTGCTATTTGATAAGGTATACATTAGGCATTTTATCATTTGAGATATCTCATTTTTACATTCAGATTAGATTAGTGTACAATGGCTTTGATGTGCACTGAGTGCCTACCAGTTCTACCAATGAAAAACGCTACATATAACCGAATTAGCGGCTTTTACTTAAATAAGACCACTGTACATAACGCTTAAGCATTTATTTATGTCGTGCTTCTATTCAAATGCCCCGTAGTATTTTATTATTTTAGTATCTTAGTCGCGAGATTCACACGCTATTAATGCGGTAACTACGATGCGTTACGCATTAATTATTTCGTGCATGTTCGTTCGATGAGAAGAATGGAAGAATGGATGGGAGAAAAGAGTTAGAGCGATAAGTGTGCTGACAGATTCTTTCAGCGAAGGATATAATTTAATCGCACACATGGATTAGAAGTTAGAGAGAAAGGTGATAAAATCGACGATAAGGCAATTGTTTTGTGATATTTCAAGATTTTTTATTCATCGGTATATCTCAAAACCGATCGACTTTACGGTATGTGTCCATCCCATCTCACCCGATCTCCCTTCGACTACATTTTTTGTTTTTCCATCGCGAGTCTGTCGTGTATTATCTTACGATTAACTGTCATATCATGTATAGTAGAAATTAATGGTGAAAAGAGGAAAAACAGTACATTGTTTCTGTTAAAATAAACATTGTTGAAAAATAAGAGCTGTGTTGCACTCAATTTTACCGATTGTTATATTCTTACAAATATTATGCTGCGGAGTTAGGAGATCTTTTTTGATAGCAAATATATCAGTCGATGGTTTATCGATGGATTTGATAAAGCGATAAAAGTAAATGAGAACATCGTACTCTCTGGAACTTGATTACATAAATTGGATAAAAACACTAGAATAATGACATTCCATTGTATTGATTTATGCAAAAGCTTATATTTTATTCATAACAAGTTAAAGTACACAACCAATTCATATTTTAAATAGTTGATCAGATAATTTATCCAAACGCAATTGAATTCTTTTCAACTATTTAAACTATATATTTTATTCTATTAAACTACATACTTTATATAACACATTTTATATTAATACATTGCTTACAATAAGCAATTTTTAATTCCAATCTGATCTTCAACATCTGCATTCCACCTTTGCCTGCAAAGAAATTAATTATATTAAAAGTTACATAATAAGTAATTGAGATGTATTATTGCATAAAAATGATTTAATTCCTTCAAACATGGTATTAGTTATCATTAAAATCCAAATTAATAATTTATTGTTTAAAAAAAATCTTGTTACTATAAACATTGTTCAGCTACGATAAAATATCATTTCAACAAATTATAAAATTAAATATTAAAATTAAAATTAATGAAAGAAATTTATAGAATGCAAGTTATTCTTCGATAAATTATTATATGATAAAGATAATAAAATATTTTGCTAGAAGGAATTTAACAGTAAGTAAAAGTATTTACCTCTCGATGAATGGCGAGCACACCATCTTCTTCATTCTTCAAGATTTCTATATGCGCCTTTCCATTTTGATCCACTCTTACGGTCTTACCAGTACACTTGTTATTCTCCAAATTTCCAGAGATAACGTCGCAATAAGTACCAGGCAGCAAGCAAGTAAAGAGATCCTCCTTCAAGTCACGTCCTTCACCATTGATCACAATGAAACCCGCGTTTCCGCGACAGAAAGCGATTTGATTCCGGCCATTGTCCCACCAGCCGTTTACGTTGGTATTATTCACAGCGTTTCTGAAGTGCACCATGTTGTAAATCTGACGCCATCGATGCTCGCAGACCCAACCGTCACCGCAGGTATTGTCAGGGTTGATGGTTGGAGATATAAGATTGCCTATAGA